CCCAAACACGATCAGGCTTCACCCATACAGTGCCTCGATATTTATGAGTCTGACTCCAACTCCCAGGCACACATATCTAGGTCTTTTAGTGTGGCTTAACGTATTGCGGCGATTGAAACTGCAAAGAAACGCATGACCCCCGGTCACAATGGTGTCTCTACGTGAGGTGTTTCGAAACCTGGAAGGTCTGGTTCTTGACACACTCCTGCAGGCCATCAACCAACTATGGGAGACAGGAGACATCCCCTCTGACTGGAAACATTCTTTTGTGGCCCTATCTGGAAGACAGAAAAGACACCCAACAATCTCCAAGATTTGCGATTTAATTTCGCTTACACCAATGATTTGCAAGCTTGTAGAGAGGATGCTGGCCACACGAGTGTCCTGGTGGCTCAAAAGCTACGGTAAGTATCACCCCGTGCAAATCAGCTTTCAACCGTAATAGGGTACTGAGAAGGGCCTGTCAGTTCTGGTGGACGACATCATACAGGTCAAGTTGAATGCACGATGGTAGCTTTAGACATTGCCAAAGCGTATGACAATATTAACCACAGAATCATAATGACCAACCTTATCCGGAGAGCAAGTCGTGACCTCCTTGCGCAGAAGTTGCGGTTCCATCAGAAAGACGCCGAGCTCTGTTAGGCTCTGATTGAAGTATAGTGGGTAGACCTCAAAGAAACCTGCCTTAAGGTGTACCAGCTATTCTTCAATCAAAGCCAATCAGAGCTTGGCGTTCTGACTTCACCACAACCCCTACAAAAGAAGCAGACAAACTTGCGCTCCGCCTAGAGCTGGGGCTTCTTACGCGCATCAAACGATCTGTATACTCTTTCCTTCAGAATCAAACCTTTGCTATAAGGCTGGATGGACAATGAGAAAGATGTTTTACATCGATTAGGGGAGTCCCCAAAAGGCACCGTCTTGTCTCCGCTTCTTTTTAACATTGCACTGATACCTCTAGCATGGCAACTCCATCGGGTTCCGGACGTCGAATTTCTCGTTTATGCTGTGGACACTTTATGGACTAGTCACAAGGCCCTCTCTGGGCAAGCCAAGCTGCTCTAACAAGCCCTATACTTTTCAGAGCTATTCACAACAATCCGGGCTGTAAATTTCTTCGCAAAAATCCAACAACGTTGTGGTAGCAAACAAGGTGGGACGTAAGAAATTCACCCAGGCCCCCCCCTTCAACTCAAGCTGGGTACTAAAAAAATACCTGAAACTACGGATATCCGGATACTGCGCCTGCATATTCAAACCCAAAGGCTCCGAAAGATTAAGCAAAGATCTGCCACCACCCCATCTCATTCGACGCATAGCGCCGAAAGCTGGTGGTGCTCGTACAGACATTGCTCGACGGCTGGTGCGTGCCATCTTGCAACCGCGAATTATATACCAGGCGCAGTTACATCGACTCACGGCGGCACAGTGGTCGCAATTTGAAACCAGGAATCGTGATCAAATGCGCGCCATAACGACGTTGCCTCGCGTTACTCCAATTTCAATCCTACAAAAACACACGAGGCTGAACACTATCATGAAACTCATCTCTCAACAAGAACAGGCAAGGGAACAGCAGTTTGTATCAGCGGTATCTGCGCTACATGCGCATTTTTAACGTGGCCCCCCGCTGGACGTACGCTCGGAACCAATACCCCCCTGGAAATTCACCCACAATACCACCAAAAAACCGATCAAGTTACGACGTCGCGATCAGGGAGGCTTATAAGGTCCCTGCCCAGAAACACAGCACGACAACCACTGTCAAGTTTATACGGATGCAGCGATCTTCCCAGACGGCAGCCGATTTTCCTTCCTCATCAGCTCCTTTGACGTACTTGGACTAAGGGGCGTTAGCGATATGCATCTGAGATAGCCGACCCTCTTGTCATGGAACTACAGGCCATACACATCACTATAAAAGCAGCAACCACCAAGCTGCCGACCATCCGCAATCTTCCCATTTTTGCAGACTCTTTAACGGCAATTCAAGAGCTCAAAAAGGTTTCTAAAGCGATAGAACTGTGTCAGACGATACACACCTTTCACCGTAATACGTCGACCTGCATTATAGGTGGACTCAAGTGGATTCGGATAACCTCTATTTACCGTCATAACTCAACCTTTTGGTTTTAAGCACCCTAAAAAACGGGATTACATTCAAGGGCTGTTGATTTCCGCGTTAAAGATTCAATCAAAGTTCGTTTGACGCCCACCTTTCTGCGCCGTGGCGCAGAACACCAGGGGGTGCCACCAAAAGGGACGACAACAGGGAGGGGCACGCGAGAGCCAATCACGGGTGACGGCTTTCGGGCGGACTGAATTTCAGAATACACGCGCGTTCGAAAAAGCAGTCCGCCGGGAAACCGTCACTCGTGATTGGCTGTCGCGTGCTCTACCCTGCTGCCTTCCCGTCTGGTGGCGCTCCCTCGTGTTCTGCACCATGGTGCAGAAAGAGGAGCGTGGTACGATTTTGTTTGCGCTTTTATTATGGAAATTTGGCGCTCTTGAATGCGATTTCGGGCTTTATGTGACGAGCTTATAGATTGGGTTATGACAATAAATGGACGATCTATGTATCCACTCTAGTGCCCCTTTAAGGTATACTGGATTCAAGGTCATGCCACAAACGAACATAACCTTGCAACTGATTAGTAGGCACACTGCTAATCAGTTGCAACGCAGTTGCTCGAGGACAGCGCACACTGCTGCGTTGCGCTGTCCTATCGCAACGCAGTAGAGACTGGTTGCACAATTTTTCCAAGGGGCGCAGTGCCGTAAAGGCCGAGATGCGCTCCGATTGCAAACCGAAACCTAAAAACCCGTCAAATTTGTGCGGTTTTTCAGAAAGTCGTAAAATGCTTCGCGTGACTTCTATCGTTCTGCAATGTGTTGATTTACTGTCTTTCGATCATTATATTTTTGCATTTAATCTAGAGCAACAACTTATATGCAGATGACAGGTACTTATGTGATTAATAGAAGGAAAAATCCAATGCTATATATTGAAACACCACGAAATAAAATAAAGAACACAAATATGAAGTCGAAATATATAAGTAGCCAAATGTGTGCTTTACGAAGCGCTATATTTTAGAAGGAAATAAAATAACGCAACACGTCTCTTTTATGGAAACGTAGTGATATTGTGTAAAATGCTTCGCCTACAAAAAAAAAAACGAAAAGAAAGATGTTTTCCTAATGCACGTTGAAGTTGCGGAACTTTTTACCTTGAGACATGTTTGAAGCGCTCTAAATAGTTTAATTCATAAACTAAAGCTTCAATTTATATATAGATGATTTGTCATTTTGAGGAAAATATATCAGAAAAATGTGAACAGTAAAGCTTAAAAAAGGTACAATATCGATATCAATACTGGGTAAAATTTCATTGTAGCCAAATGTGTCCGTTTCGAAACGCTATATTTCAGACGGACACATAATAGTGCAGCATGTCTTTCATTTAAAAACACGACAGTGTGGTTTAAAATGTTGCACCTATTTTTTATGTTTTTTTTTTTTTAATTCAAAGATGAGTGTTTTTATTCGCACGTTGAAGTTTCGAAACTTTTGACCTTGGGGCATATTTGAAGCGCTGTAAAAACTTTCTTTATGAACTACTAGACCAACAAATTATATACAGACGGTACCCCCCGTGTGAACAATATTGGAAAAAAAATTCTATATCTTAAAAAGAATTATGAGATATTAAGTGAAAAATTTAAAGTAAAAATGTTAGAGTGGTCCTGGTTGTGCATTTATGACTCGCAATATATAGGGTGCCTAAAATGCGGAGGCTCAACCTGAAATAAGCTGTAAAAATCGGCGCCTGCAGTTAGCAACCTAAACTTGTCGTCAACGGTATATTTCACACGTAGATTTACCATTGTGAAATTACAAGGCGCAACTCGCTTTTCGTAAAACAATATGGCGCCAAACTCTTGCTATGGTCAACGCCGGACGGCGATGCAGACGTCCGAGTCCAGTGGCGGGGCGCGTTTCGCCCATGTCTCTGAAGCTCAAGATTACATATACCGTCATGAGAAACATTTTATTTTTTAATAGGCAGCGACCTTTATATTTAAGGTCCTATAATAGTCCGATCTCACCACACGTTTGGACAACGCCACCGCTTCCGCCAAGCATCGTGGGAACTTTAGTCTTTCTGCACTTGCGACAACCCCGCTAGGGCTCTGCGCGTCTGGAGCACAAGATGGCACGAGCCCTCGTATGCACTGCCGTCTGCCTCCTGTGAACTAAAGTTATGGCGGCGTCACGCATGCGCTGAACGCTTAGTGAGATCGGTCTATTCATGATGTGTATACGGAGTTTGTGAGGGAATCGGTGTGTCACATGACTATATTTTCCCTGCAAATTTAGCGGGGAAACTGGATTGGTGTCTAAGTCACAGGGTGTGAATTTTCCCGCTCTATTTATCAACAGCTGCAACTGGTGTACAGGTCACGTGACGTCAATTCTCAGCTAAATTTAGGAGGTGAAACTGAACTGATGTTTTTGCTACAATGCGTTGATTTTCGCGCTAAATTTAGCGGGTAAACCTAGTTGACGGATAGGTGTGTTGCCGTCGATCTCCCCAAAGAGTATAGGCCACGTGACGTCAAGTAATAACGAAACCTTTCCCGCTAGACTTGGCGGAAAATGCACAGACGGACGGACGGACGAACAGACACATTTTAGGAATGGCAGGTAGCGCTAAAAAAAAGCATTTCAAGCTTTAAGAAAAAAAAAACGGTTGGAGTTGTGGCATTTGGACAGGTGAAGCGTTGTGCTCAGTGCCACAGCGCAGTCAGTTTTCTTCTTTTTTTTTTTTAGATTTGAACATATGATCAGTTCTGTCATTCATAGATTGCAGCGATGGCTCTCCTAAGTGCTCTGCGGAAGAGCAGACGCTGCAGAATATTTAGAGTGCTGGAGGAAGTACAAGTAGCGCACCGCCAGCTCAAGTCACTAATTGTTTTCAATATCTTTTTTTGCAGACTGTGACTCAGCCTGGCACTTTTTACCTCATGTTCCGCTCCTTCAGTAGTGATCCTGCGCTTGGAAACACCGCGAAATGTGTCTCCAAAAGACCAATCAAGGTCATGGAAAGCAGAGTGAAGTACTTGAAGCCTTCGGATAAATCATTGTATGTATACACTTGCCCTTGGCTACCCTTCTTTGTTTCGCCCGATTACAAGGAACTGACTTCATAATTTAGGACCCCAAAGACTGTGCGTGTCACGGTGGCTCGTTCAGACGACAGCACAGCCGCCGAAAAAATCCAAATAAGGAATGCGTATGGACCTGACACAAGTAAGCCGGCATTTCTTAATTTATATAAAATCTAGATATCCTACCGTACATTCTAAGAAACAAACGGTATATTCTTACACCCCTTGCCCTATATACGACACCCCAAAACTTCATTTAGACGCAGAGCGCTGACTTCGAACAGACGATCTCAAATTTCACGATGTGCTTGAGAACGGTGAGGTATACTACATTAAACAGCTAAAGTACGTATCGAAGACAACAGAAAAGAAACACTGAGGTTTTGCAGTAATACCAAGAAAACCGCGATAACTTTTTTGTCATCAATAACACGTACATTAGGTATTTCAATAGGTTGTACCACTCGGCTATCAAGCCGCCTGTTAAAGTTGGGAACGACGGCTCGACGTTAGCGCGCTCTACGTCGAAATGAAGTTTTCGGGTGTCGTATATCTGACAAGGGGTATAAGAATATACACTTTTCTTCTGAGAGTGTAGATTTACACAGCACGGTATCTATTGCGGTCTTACGTTCCGTGTAAGGTCCCGTTCACACACATGCGTCTGCTTAGGACCGAGTTTTTGTAATATCTTGCGACCAGCGAACACACTGGCACGATGGCGCCATCTATGAGGTAATCCTGGGAACTGAATTTCACTCGATCGAAGGTTTTGCGGCATCTGCAACATCAAATGTGCGTACTGTGTATCAGAAATGATATTTTATATCATTGTCAAAAGTTTTTCAATCCAAGAAAGAAAGAATGATGTACGAAAAAGAAAAGGAAAAACACCGAAAACCGTAAATGTTCTACAGCTACCGGAAATACGGCACCAGGTTTCCTCGATGCGCGCTCTCCTGCCGACCCCTAATGCCCCTGGAGTGGCATTAGGAGTCGGGGCTTTACCGACCCACGGTCCAAGTCCGAGTTTCGCGGCGTTCACACTAGCGTCGCCGCCATCGGCGGCGTTGTCAATAGCGTCGCTACCGACAGCGGCGCTTCGGTGGTGGAGCGCTCTCATTCAAGTAAAAAGTAAAATAGAAAACTTTTTCATATAATAGTCATTTCTATAAAACGCCTTCGGCGCATCATAGAAATAGAATGCAATTTATTTTCTATCTTCATTTTTTTATCTTTCTTTTGTTCCAAAAACAAAATTAAAAGCGACAGGTCGGCGCTTGCATGAGCTGTCAACTGGCACGAGTCGCCGACACCCCGGGCCTCGGCGCCGACCAACACCCCATAGAAGCTAAGGCCGTAGCGCTCTTTTCGTGACGTCGCAAAGGAAGGCCATCGAGGGCGCGCGCCGAAGCGCCGAAGCGAAGGCAACGTCCGTGGATTTTCGTAACAATACAAGCGTGACTTATTAACTAAAACAAAAACTGCACAGAGCAACTGGTCTAGAAAACACTTTATTACATGGGCAAAATATTACACTGCATAATAATCCGTAAGGAATAGCACGAGGTATGCGTATAAGACGTCTACAAAAAAAAAATGTTATTTTATTAAGTGGAAAACTTTGAGTCACGTAATTATTGCTGCAGGAATGCGTATTTTATACAAAAATTCTTTGACAAAATGGAGAGAAAAGCAGTGATCAGCAAAACAGATCACAGATATAAATCATGTAGACGTAGTCAACGCGAGCACGGCTAGACAGGTGTCACTTACAATAATGTAAGCGATGTAAACGCATACAGGCACTAAATTATATCATTATACACAGGTCACATTGCAAAATTAATATAATTTTCATTGAGTAATTTTATAGGCTTGGCAAATCAGCTTGCTATTTTCGTATCTTCACTCAGGATCGCGAGGTGATTCAATCCTATAATATCATTTATTGAAGATATATTAACTTTTCCGTTTGGCAGGGGTACTAAACTTACTTAATATTTGCAATCAACTAATCCACATCTCTCATTAAGCTCAAGCTGCCTAAGAACAAAATATATATTTATGCTTGATTCAATATTAGAATTACCTTAATACAGCTAGGATTGTAGTATGAACGTGTAGGAATGCGCAAGCATTCATACACGCAGCGTATTTCTACAAGCAACGTGCCACGTCTCCCTTCTTCACACTGCGCTCCGGCGGAGACATACGCTCCCCCACTGCACAGGCGCGGCAACCCCCGCCGGTTCCACGGGTTCCGTGACGACGTTGCAGTGCTTTTCTTTGTTTTATTTTTTCTTAGGCGCTTAAGCTTTGCCGCTAATATAAATTTCTGTGCCGTTTTGCTCAGCCAATGGGAATTTACGTGCCGTTTCGTTCATCCAGTGGGTATTCAGGTGCCGTTTTTCGCTGCTACAAACATCAGATAACGCCGGCTTCGCTCCATGGGACAGTTAATGCTTTCGCATTTTTAACATTAGTATAAATCAGTATTGGGCAGTAACTATAGTAATGCGTTACCGGTAACTTGTTTCGTTTTTAGGAAAAACTGCTGCTGAAGCCATGTGTACCACGAGGAAAAAAAAGAAAAATGAAATCGAACTATATTTTGGGTGACGCTGCTTTGCCAAGCTGCTCCCGCGAACTGAAGGATGTCGACGTTTGTGTCCGTACCCGATGTGTATGGTACATGGCCTACAGCGCACGTAGATGAAACAATGCGGGGCATCTCTAAAGCGCTTCTCTTTTCTTCGCGAAGGACAGTCTTTGGTGATTGTCGCCTCGAACGCCCGCAGGCTTACGGCACAACCGATTTTCCGAACCTCGTCGTTTTGCCTCCAACTCCCAGTGCACTCTTGGGGGATTTAGACTTTAGGCCCATTTGGTCTCCCTTCCCTCTTTTTGCAACCGAATTACCGGCCTTGCCTCCCGTTACCCACTTGTTGTGCCCATTGCTCTGGTTCCTGCGTCCTCTCACTTGACAAAGAGTATTCCCTCAAACGTGTGTGTCGTTCTGCTTGTTGGCGTGCTTCCTTGAACTCGAAAGGCAGACCTTAGCCGTGATTAGGGACGCTTGGCATCAGTTGATTTATAGATATTCACGTCGTGGGCATTCCGGGTGGTGTCTTCTAGTCGGGGTGGTGAGATGGAGGAGTGCAAACGTGTCTCATCTGGTTATGAAGGGGCGGAGAAAAGATCGTAACAGCCGTTTAGGATTCTATGCGCAGTGGTCATTTGTACCTCGATCAGATCTTCTTTTGAACTGCTGCCGTGTTCAACGGGTTTGACAAAGGATTGTTGCCGCAACATCGCTCTCCATTTATTTAAGATATGCTTCTGGTTTCATGAAGGACTGTGCTCACGCAGTAGAAAACAAGTTAACCAACAAGTGAATTGGTGTGGCATAAGAAGACATCTACAAAGCTGATTGCAAGGTTCAACTTATATTATTGTTGACTTCACATTTGCACTGATTTTTATTGCTTCTATACCAGTTCTTTTCACCAAAAAAATCCTAAATTAGAACTGACCGATTGTAAACTCGCACCATGATTAGATGTACTGAGACCTAGACGCGTGCTTTTATATTCGTCTATACGTTATAGTTCTCGCGCTTATTTTAAAGTTCTTCGTGGATCATCAGCAAATATATGGCTTAACATCTAAAAAAACCAAAAAGTCTCCTCTAATTTTGCCAAAGAAGATACAATAAATCCTTTATCATATAGTAAGTTTACCCTAATACTGTCTGAAGTTAAGGTTTTGATCAGGGAGCTATTCATGGTAAAAATTTAAATAGGAAGAACCAAATAATGCTATTATTGATTACTGAAAAAATATTAGTTTCTTAAAATATCAAAGTCTATATTGTGAAAACGAAATGTCTTAAGAAGCATATAAACAAATTTAAAGGCATATTAAGACAGGTTAATTGTGAATGCTTTCTAATATTTTTGAAAAGTAACTCCGAAATAACGGCGTTACTTTAGCGAAATAAATGTAATTGTACCGAGTTACTCTTTCAATTTTTTAACTACCTGTTACTTACTTTTTTCCTCTAAGTAACTGTAACTGTGTAACACTATTAGATTTCAGGAGTAACGTGCCCATGACTGGTCCAAAAACATAAGCACCAACAACCTAGTTTCACTAATAGCACATAAGATTCTTATTCATCTCCCAGTAAAAACTTTAATGTTGCCGCGCATATTTACAAATGTAGACTTAATTACTCATGGATTCCTATGAACGAGAATCCGTTCTATCATGAGATCAAAGCAAAAGACTGCAGCACTCTACTCGCGTTCTACGTGAGCAACAAATCCTGTAAATACGTTATTTCTCGCCTATGGATCGTATCCATACATCCCGCAATATCCACCACGAAGACATTAGATCACAAACTGCAAGAACTATTTCTCCTTGTCAAGGGAAAGAGGTGTATTGACAATCGACCAGAGTCATCGCATAAGTGTGCTTATACGTCCATTTCCACGGGAACACTTTACGTGCAATTGAAAGGTTCCTCCTTTATTCAAAAGTTCAGCGTATTTATGCATTTATACCCCATGTCAGTTATTGTTCAGAATAGTCAAAGTAATGGCAATAATTATTCAGCGCTTAATCAATAGTAATATCATCCACACTTAGCTTAATCTCGGAATAATTACAACAAACGAAAAATAACTACATTACTCCTCTCGTCAGCGATCGAGCCTGGAAAGCACGGCATTTTTTTTTCCTAATAATGTGGACACACCGCAATTCAATCCACATTAAAATTTTCCATCATTTTTGCTTTAGCATGTATATATATAAATGTTCACATCTCGGGCACTTTTCATTATCGTACGTGGTCTCCATCCGCGTATTTTTGATTACACATATGTTTACATTCTCACACCACCTTTTGGGAATAAATTCAAGCAAAGCTTGATAATGCCGGCAAAGATCAGAGAGCATTGAACGAGTCGAGCGCAACACACACATGCTGTATATGTTTGCGCCCCCTGCCGCACACATAGGCCTACTCCCACCCCACACAGGCGGCACGAGGAAACCACACGCTTAATGGGTTTGCCAAGGCCAACGCCTTGCTGATCCCCAATGTATGACAGAACGATTAAGCTAGCTTCAGCTTCGTAGGTTATAATGCATCTCAAAGTATTGCCTAGATAGCATTGAACGAAAAACCGATGAAGTGCAATCGGACATCAAGTTTGAGCGCGAACTGGCGAGTGATAAAAATAACACCTTTCCTGTATTTTTTTACACAAGCGACCCTGTGCGTGCGTTTCTGCAACATTTTCTGAGCTTTGTTCGTTGATGTCATAAAGATTTCAGCAGAAACAGCAGTACTTCGTTTAGAGTCACAGAAAACAAGTTTGTAAACAAGTGCGTTTTCTTTTTTTTTAATGGACTCGCGCTATGCATGCCGGCCGTTCGTTGTGGGTGCCGTAATGTCGGCTGCAGGAGCAGACGACGCATATTGTCGTCACCCTCCGCAGGGAGGGCGCTGGCATTAGGGCACCCTATTCTCGTCGTAAGAGATTTTTTAGAGGTACGGTCTTTAAGCAGTCGAAAGTGGCTGAACCAGCCGAGGAGATATTCGCGTTTAAGCGCGTTTGAGTGGAGAGTGGCGTCCCTACAGCCGGAAGCGGTTGCTTGCGGACCGATGCCCGACGTCGCGCAGTGCCTCGCAACGCGCTGCAAGGGAGTAGAGACCGGGTCACCTTTCGACGCAGCATTAGCGGGAGCGTGTTGCGATAGACCAGTCAGAAGTCGAAAAAGGAGAGGAGGGTCACGCGTTCGCTCGCGCCACTCGACGATGCGGATCCAGTTCTCCGTTCACGGAAGCGACTTCTTCGTACGTGGAGCGGTGAGGAGCGCCTCGGAACAAAGTTTTTCAAAGGCTGCGATGGTTCAAGCCGGGCAGAATGTCGTGGAAGCCAGCGAGATTGTCTTGAGCTCAACCACTTCCACGCTGTCGCCGGGCGCCGCCACGTTACCTTGAAGTTCGTTATTGTTGAGCCGCTAGCGACAGTAGCGCGTTCTTATTGGCTCTTGACTGCGGTCGACTGCGTGTCAACGCAACTGTGTGTACAAGCTTGGCATAAGCTCTCTTAGCATCGGTACGCTTCCGCTTGCCGCTTCTAAACGCACCGCGCTCGAAAGCAAGTGTGGGGAGGTACCTGTAGTCTTCCGTGAAAGTTGCGGGGCAGATTCATAGCTGAGAAAAAAAAAAATGACACGTAAAACTTTAAGTTTATAACTTTATCGATAAAAGAGTTGCGTAAATGTACATAAACTAACACAGTGTCCCCTGAGTAAAACTCGATGAGAAAAGGTAATGATGAGGACCCCTTCCTACGGTGAAACATACAGCATAACACCCTTGTCACGCGGCTCTGAGTGTAAATTGCAGAAATTACACGACTTTTAATAGAAAATCAGTCAATGTGCAAAGGTTTATAATTTTTGCGTGAATTAGGTTTAATCAACTGCAGCTTTCCATAACTAAAGCAATGAAAATATTGAAAGTAATCTTACAGCCGTGTTCATTACAAAATTTGAGTACAGAAACTTCCAAAATGGCTCCACACACATCAGGTCCTCATGAACTTTTATTGTTTCCCGAACCGAGATTTGATTGCAAAACATTACAGGAGGACACTTAATATTGTTTACGTGTAGGAATGCGAAAGCATTAGTACATGCAGCGCATTCCTACAACCAGTGCGCCCCACTGTCCTCCGCAGAGTCCGGCCGGGTTGCGCGACATGGCTGAATGCAGAACGTAGAGCAAGTGACAGAGTTGTGCGCAGGAAGAAATAGGTGAAATTTCCCGCTTGCCCTCTACTCCCCCCCCCCCCCCTTTCCCGCTACGCCTGACACGTGACCCGAGAAGGAGGAAAAAGCGGCAGCCAAGCGCGCGCCACCCTCTCCCTTTTACCGGCGCGTGCTCCGCAAAACCAGCAAGAGGGCTTCTCTGGGCACATACGGCACATTTACTTTTATTTTCTATAAATGTGGTATTATTTCTGCAATTTATATTCATAGCCGCGTGACACAGGTGTTATGCTGCATGTTTCACCTTAGAACTTTAAAGGCCTGTTTACACTCTTGCGATCGACTTCGACCGGGAGAGACCAGACCGGTTTTTAAGCCTTTTGCGACTTCTTAGGACCGGATGCGATGCAGCGGAGCTGGTCCTAAGAGATCGCAAGAGGCTTAAAAACCGGTCTGGTCTCTCTCGGTCTAACTCGGTCGCAAGAGTGTGAACGGGCCTTAACGCGTCGCAGCCAATATGAATTTAGCCGACGTTTTCGCTGCTACAGACGGAATTTAGTTGCCGTTTTTCGCTGCTACAGACGAAATTTATATGCCGTTTTCCGCGGTCGCAGACAACGCCGGCTTCGCTCCATGGGACAGTTAATGATTTCGTATTAAAATTAAATCTAGATAAACGCCTTCGAAAGCCAGAAAGCTGCACCATAAGGCCTGTCCAAACAGGACACTGCAAAAGTCCTCAGGCGACACAACTCCGACAAATCGTTCAACAACCCGCTTCCGGGATTTTTTTTTTTTTTCGGGGGGGGGGGGGGGGGGGGCGGGAAGGGGGGGCGGGGAGGGGGGAAGGGCGGGAGTTTTTTGTTTAAATCTCGCCCGTGCCCTTTAAGGCGCCCTTTCTGGCGCCCGTTATCGGCTCATCACGTGGGTCCGTAGAGCTACTCACACGCGCTTTTGACTGTCGGTCAATTTTCAAGACCTCTGCCGTCTTTCAAGTCCCGAAAACGGGAAAAGGAACGACGCGAAGGTCTCGTTCTCTTTTAATGTGAGAAGTGAAACGCGCGCTTCGGCCTTCCGGCCGAAGCGATGGCGGTAGCGAGGTCAGCGAGCCGCGAGAGAACACCAGTGGCAGGTGGCGTGTGATGTCAAATCTAAGAGCACCGACGTCAAAGAAAAGTGGAGGAGGCGAGGAGAAAAGTCGTGATGTTGGCTTGGCCTCAAAACTTGTCAGACGACACGACTCCTTCAAGAATCGCCAAAATTGAAGCGCCCGCTTAAATTTTGCCGATTTTTCAAGGAGTCGGGTTGCCTAACGCTTTTTGTAGTGTCCTTTTTGGACAGGCCTTTAGATGGTGCCAGCTTGTCGGAAATATTTTTTTTTTTTTGCTGAAAAAGTTATTTTAGTTATGAGTGAAACTTTTTGACAGCATCCATCAGGATATTTAGAAGCTCATGAGACCAAACAAAGCCATTATTTTATAAATTTAATATAGTACAAATTCCAGATCACTATAGTTATAAACTTGCACTTTCCTACAAAAGGTCTTTAAGACAGAACGAGAATATGTATCTATCAATTTCCCACCTTGAACTTAGACACGCAAATTATCCAACTCGTAATGCTGAGATATGGATAGTGCCACATTCAAGAACAAACTATGGGAATAAGATGTTAAAATGTACCCTCCCCCATCTTTTGAATCGTTTTTATGAACTCGATATAAATATCTTCAGTATGTCCGCCAAACAAATATGTTCATTTTTTTGTCTAATGGTTACTCCCATGTAAAAAAAAAAAAAAAAGAAAAAGAATGTTCAGTATAATCCCCTTGTATGCGTTTTGCGCGTGTTGTTATTTTTTACATACTTTTTCGTTCCTTTTTTCTCTCCCTTTTGTTTAAATTTTTTCTTTTAGCAATATAGATTATGTCTTTCCCATGCTATAATGAATACGTCAAATGTTAGTCTTTTTACATTTATGTTTGTTCTTCCCTTGCTGCTATGGGGGGAGAGGCTACTCAAGCAGAGTGTCAGTTGCTTTTTTCTCTGCCTCCTTTCTCTAATTCAGGAATCAATCAAGAATTTGATTTTAAATTTAAAAAATGCGACTTCTAAAAAAAAGTTTAAGGTAGTGTTTCTTTTAACTATTTGCTTATAGTATGTGAAATCTTTAAAAAACTCAGGATGCGGCACGACCCAGGTATCTACTTATTATTTGTCCTGAGCCAATCAGATCGCGGCATTAGCAGACAATAGCGTTGAGGAAGCGAGAAGCTTGAACAGAATAAGCCACACCCTGCCTTTCTTAAGCTATCAGGGACTGCAGCGATTGCCGTCCCTAATATATGTCTATTATGTTTGTTCGATGGCAGGGACCACTACATATCGGCTCGTCTATTCGGATTACGGAATCTGTGACGTGTTCGTCGTTTCGGACACAAACGAAAAAAGTAAGTAGTGCGGCCTTTACATTTTCAACTTCTACCCCACGTTTTTATTTTTTTATTACATGTAGTGTCTGCACTTCACAACATAGGTTGCGATTTATATTAAAAATAGACACACGTAAGCAATGTACATTATTACGATGTATCACCACTAATTGCACCGACAAGATGGGACGCTTTATGGAAACAATACAACGCCTGTTTTACAACGTGCGAACCGACGATACTACTCCAGCTGTGTGATTAGTGCCGATGAAGTTTATGACTTTCACGGTCAAATAGTGAGTCAGCGGATATTGCCTGGCATGCACCCTACCGAAAGTTCCCGCTGTGTGGTATTGGCGATCTATGGAGGCTCGCTCATCTTTGTAACGCCCAGTGGAGGTGACGACCAAGAGCATTTTGACAAGCGGGACGACGGGTCCGGCAATGAGCTTGACCTCCAATTGGCTATTCTTCAGATTTGCCTGAAGGTAGGCGTCATTTCAGGCGCGGTGCAAGCTCTCAAACAAATAACGGACAGCTGCATCTTTGTCCGTCCAGTTAAGCAAATCTCGTTCGAAACACCATCCACTATGACTGTAAAAAATGGACCGTAAAGTTCACGGTCAAAAACCAGCAGCTGATGCTCCCCCTCTATTGCGTCATGAAAATAATGGTGCACTGTAAATCTCGTTTACACAAAATTTAAACGGTGACCGTAGAAATCTACATTCATAGGTGTTAAAATTAACCGTAAACCAGATTTGCAGTACACCGTCAATTTTACGGCACTGTAAAGCCGTTACAAGTAACAGCGCTACAAGTAACGCGTAACATCTTTTTTCGGTAGCGTGTACATACTCGTTACTTTTTCAGAACAGTAACGGCTAACGCATTCACGTTACATATTTCGAGTAATGGGTAACGGAGTTAAGTTACTTCTTTTTCCCAAGATTTAAAAAAAAAAGACAATTTTTTTGTTTGTTTCTGGGTGCCAAGCCGTGTGAATTTTCGAGTTTTTGCGTTTCTCTTTGCGTTTTTTGTGAGCATTTAGGAGGAACCATAAGAAAGATAAAGAAATTATGTTCAGTGTCTGCATGGACATAACATATTTCTTAAGATATGGCGCCTATGCATACCCGTAACGTCAAAACAGTGAAGATTGTTAATTCATAATGAAAAAAGTTTCGCAAACCTAATATGCGTTTTTTTTTATCAGTAACGGTAACGGTAACGCGTTCCTTTTATTTTGAAGTAACGTAGGACGGTAACGCGTTATTTCACGCTCAAGTGACGGGTAAGGTATTTCCTTACTTTCTTTCGGTAACGCCTACAACACTGCTTCGGTTAACAAGTTCGCGGTACGACACGGCCGGAGTCTCCTGCCAAATCTGAATATAGACATTCATCACGGTTTCATGCGCCTGACCCTCAAACGTGCCTTTGCGAAAGGAAGATTGGAAAGGACTCGGTGAGGGAAAGCAGTGAAGCACATGATTCGGCAATTACGGGAACAAAGTCACACAGAAAAACCGAGCGCTGCAGCCGTGTTGCCAACAGTTGTACGTGTTTTCACCAACCCACATGAATTTGCACATTTTAATAAAAACATAAACTTCAGATATTTTATTACTTTAGTTGCAAATCATTCTCAGCTGTATACATATGAAATATTGTGCAATGTTCACGCACAAAACAATTATTAAAAAATATTTTGCGGACTACCTTGTGGTGCGTAGGAATGCTCTTCTCAAAGTTGCGAACCGCCTCTCAGTTGTGAGCCGCCCCTCACAACCACCCCGGTTCACAAGTCACAGCGCACGTGACTCACAAGAAGGTGAAGGAGTTGAGAGGTGCCGAAAATTAAAATCATTGTCAATTTTTAAAATAAAAACTAGGACATGCAAGCAACGGCATTTTTTGTTCCTTACTTCAGAAAGGTCGAGACACGAACCCCCAAATTATTTAAGCAAAGCACTGAAATTGTTGCACAGCTCCTCTAAGTAAGAAAAAGACAAAATATATAGAGGAGACTTAAAAGAAAAAGGAAATTAAATAAAAAAAAGTGGCAAATAACATTGCTCCTCTGCCCGCACCACAAAAGATATAGCAAAGGACAGGGAACACGAAATAACCGAATCAGACTTGTTTTGTATTCTGCACCATCTCACCTTAGCATGCCACTAGCACTGCTAAGAACTCTCGCTGCACAATTTTTTAAGCAAGCAATGCACATTCTAAAACAAGGAGTTCACATCTGGAGTCATTGCTCCAGGGCTGCAAATCCGAGAGAAATTTCCCAGATTAAGGTAATATTTAGGTCAACGTGGGAAAAAGGGAAATCTAGCTATTTTGAGGGAAATTTTAGGCACCGTATATATCTGAAAATTTAAAGGTCAATTATGATCTTTTTTCCGAGATAACATCGACTTTGAGTGGCTTTGGCTACATTTGGATTATTTCCTCCATCCGTTTGGTGGTTTGTTGTGCAACCATCTGGCAGCAAGCACTGAGGAACACTCCGAGAACTTTTTTCGGCAAAATCAGTTTTCATCGCCGCCGTGAAAATTATGGAGGAAGGCACCCGTCAACTTCAAGATTCTGAGAGTGCCGCTGTGCCTTCTCGGAAAAGAAAGCTTGAGTGCAACCAGAAATACTGCGATGTCAGGAGGTACAGACACCATGAAAGATACATACTTACCGTGGCGAATAATATTTCGTGCACTGCCGTACACACAATGCTGCCTACCATGTGTCGAGTTCTATGTGTTCGAGTTTGAGAACTCTAGCTTGTGTTTGTGGGAACCACGTGCTCCCCGCATCCCTATCTAGGCCTAGCTCAGGCAGGCCGCGGGGCGTCGCCACGTGGGGGCGCGTCCCGGATGCGAGGCCGAAGCCGTATTCCATGGTGGACGGCTTTCCCGCGTCCTTCTCGAGCGATTTGCCTAAGGCACACCCCTCGGGATCGTGACTTGGACGCGTCCGCCCCTCCGGGGAGCCACCTACATCCGACCCACCCCGGGCGCGTCCATTCCCGCAGGCTATATAAGACGGCCCTAATCCAACGGGTGGGACTCTCGCTGGGGGAGGCTCTGCTCGACGGAGCCTTCATATCCTTATCTGATCCTCCCCCTCCGTGATACTGTCAATAGCGGCAGCGCGGACTCCAACTGGCGATCCTGTCAAAAGAGACAGCGCCGTCATTTCCACCATTGTTGGCCCTCGGGCAAGCGTGTGACATTTGAGTCAATAAACACGTCTTTATCCGGACCCAAGGAACCTTCTGTGTTTCTAAGTGGTGCCCCATAAAACGGGAAACCCACATCTGGCGCCCCAACGTGCGGCCTGTCCGGCGACTGCAAACAAAGCAGCACTCTCGCAATGACAGCGAACCAGGCCAATTTCCGGCCAAGAACTTCGTGGACAGAGGGAGAGGCGAATGCCCAAAACCCGATGCCACTCAACGGCTTTGTGGCCACGCCAGCCACACACGGACACATTGAGCAAGTGTCCTTTCAGCCGAGCTTCCCTAATGGGTAGGACTCACACTGCCCGGAATGCAACCGAGGCACTCCTTCTCGGAGCGCGCCAGCCTTCACCGCTGAGCCAAGCCCACCCGCGACTTTCGAAGTCAACACGGTTCCGACGAGACAAGAGACAATGACGCAACAGCAGGCAAATGCAGCCTCTTACAGCTTCGGCCTCTTAACCTCAGACTGGGGGTCAGCTTCTCCGCACGGAGATAACACTGGCGCCGTCTACGAGCCGCAACACAGCACAGCTGCTACAGGCGCAACAAACCACTTGGCGGGCCCATACAGAGGGAACAATCCGCCAGCCGCACATGCGGAGAGCGATTCTCACCACAGAGAAAACACGCTAGGCGGATATCACCCCCTGCTAGAAAACGCAGCTCGGGTGATCGAAAGCCTGACGGGCGCACTGCAAACAGCAGCTAGGCCTCCGCCGCCGACACGGCCACCTGTCAGAATCCCTATCCCGACATACCAAGGGTACGGAGACCGAGTGAGTGCGACAGACTTCCTCGAAAACCTGAAAAAGTACCAACAGGCCATGGGTATGTCGGACCACGAGAACGCATCTTGCCAATCTCGTTGGTGGACCAAGCGGCGCGGTGGCTCCGTCTAACCGGAAGCCAGCTGTCGTCAATCGAGCAGTTCCGCAAGGCATTTCGCCAGGAATTCCTTCCTGCAGACTACGAACGCAGGATGAGGCGAGAGCTCGAACAACGGATCCAACACCCAAACGAGTCACTGTTGGAGTTCGTTAGGGCGATGCAAGAGCTCTTTGAGCTAGCAGAACCCTCAGCGCCCAATGCAGAGCGGGTAGAGCGAGTCATTAGACAAGCGCACCCGACTTTTGCGGCGTATCTTCGAGGCAGTCGCTTTGGCGACTTGAACGAACTGGCCTCGGAGGCTCGGCGGATTCAGGGAGACATTCTTGCCGCACGAGCATATCGTCCCCCACCCCCAGCATCAGCGGCACTCGAGCCGCGCTGCGCGTGGAACGGTGACGCGGCGTCCCAAAACAGGAGACACGAAGCGGCCCACTACGCAGACGATCGAAGTCGAAACACGTATGACATATCAGATCGTGCGCTCGACCCGTACTCCTATGAACGGCGGGCAGCAGAGACTGCGCCGCAGTTCAACAGGCGAGATCGGACCACAGAGTTACCGACGCCACGGGAGGAAACACGGCCAAAGCGTCCAAACACACAGGACGAAAGGCGCGGCGCACATCAAAGCGCACGACAGGACTCAAAAAAAGTCCCTCAACAACGTTGCTTTCGCTGTAATAGCGCCAACCACCTGGTTCGACAATGCCCAGAACGGCAGAACCCCGGTCCCCAACAGTCGGGAAACGAGCAAAGCCGCCGATAACCAACCCGGTGGCTCAAAACGGCACGGAGCAAGAGACTCTTTTGCCCTCAGCCTACAGAATAGGCTTTACGACCGGCACGCTAGCGCCATTCATAGCCCTGACGATTGTGGGTCGGA